CACCAAGAATACAGAGCATCACTTGCCCCAGACTGAGAGTTCCTATCTATACCTTGTGGCTAATAGCCACTGATAGACCACTGCTCCATATGTTTATCCAACTCCCTCTTGTAGCCGCCACCACCTCCTGTGTCAGTGAATTCCATGTGTTAATCACTCTTTGGCTGAAGAAGTACTTCCTTTCACCTGTTCTAACGCGACTGCTCAGCAATTTCATTGAGTGTCCATGAGTTCTTGTATTGTGAGAAAGGGAGAAAAGTGCTTCTTTCTCAACCTCTTCTATCCCATGCATAATCTTATAAACCTCAATCATGTCACCCCTCAGTCGTCGTTTCTCCAAGCTAAAGAGCCCCAAGCGTTTTAACCTTTCTTCATAGGGAAAGTGTTCCAACCCTTTTATCAACACTTTTATGTTGAGTGTTCCCCCAACGATTACTCACTGTCAGCCAAATTTGTTTATTTACTTTATAGGCCGCCTTTCATGGTGAGACTCAGGGGCAGATTATAAAAACACTATAAAAACAATGCAGTCAGCAAATATAGTGAAGAATGCAATAGGACTAGGATTCCAGAAAACAATGTGAACAGCCAGCTGTCAAAGGCAAGATATATCATAAACAATGCAGAAAGTGAAAGAAAACTGCCATACTTTGTAGTAGCGTCTGTCCATTGCAATAGGCACAGTACAATTAGAACGCACTTCGTTCACCAGTTTGGCCTGTTTAACTTCAGTTTGTTTGTTTTCTTCTTCACAGTGGTCGAACTCAGAAGCAGGTTCTTGACTATGTTAAAGAAGGAGGGCACAAGAAAGTCCAGTTTGAAAGGTCAGAGAAACTATTCAGTAGCTACTTCACTGCCAGGAGTTTGAATGATGTCTGCCATCTTAGATGGCTTTAACGTGGGTTTGTACAAATGCGTGGAGGATAGGCTCGTCCACGGATATTGTCCATAATGACAAAACAGAACATCCATGCTCTAAAGTAGTATACCTCTGAATACCACTTACTGGGGGGAGGCAACAAGGGGGTCTGCCAGCTTTAGTTTCCATGCCCCACTTATAAGGCTCTCTGCAGCATCTTGTTAGCCATTGCAAAATGGGATGTTGGACCAGCTGAACCTTTGCCCTAATGCAGGAGGAATGCTATTATTTAACAAGCACAGTTGTTTTTAAGGGCACTTCAGAATAAGTAGGGAGGATCTCATGTGCCCATTTAGCTCCCTGTTAGCCAGTGGGAAAGAGGCCTGGAATCGTAGGCTATGCCTAGCAAGCTTAGTCTCCATGAGTGAAGAAGCAGTGTGGGAATGGAAAAACTGTAAGTCTCAGTGTGTGTTCCTGTGTCTGTGTGTCCCCCCGCCACTTCCTGTTCTTCTAGTTAGGTGCTAAACTGCTTTTGAGTCTGGTAACAGTTTTTGTTTACATACCAATTAATTATATTGCCCTTTGGTTTCTCCTTTGTTCAGAGCATGTGAATAACTCCAGGTCTGCAAAAAATAGCTGCTAGTTGAGATCTTGTTGGTTTCCACTTGCAGAATCTTGGAACCAGCTGTGAATGATACCAGGGCCTTCACTAGCTCCCTGCTCACCCCCCCCCCCCCCGTACGACACCTGGATCTCTCGTTTTCTTG